GCCGTTCGTTCGTTTGTTTGTTTGTTTGTGTGTTTGTGTGTTTGTGTGTTTGTCTGTTTGTTTGTTGTTTGGTTGGTTGGTTTGCTTTTTGTTTTTTTATTTTACTTTTTTATGGGAGTTGTTTATTTATCATAATATTAAAAAATCATTTAAGATTTTCTTCCTCTGAAGAACGTACAATGTTGCAGCCAGTTAGGCCCTTGGCACACGAGGAAAACTTCTGCTCGTCTCATGACTGGAATATGTAAAGGAGGTAAATCTCTGTGAGGTCATATTTCGCAGCCGTGCGACGAGTGGAAATTGTGCTAATGTACGCGGGGTCTTAAGCGCATAAGTTAGTACAAATGTATTCTATACTTATTCCGTCGCTACCCATACACAAGTACTCAGCGGGTGGTGGAAGGCGTTATTTCTGTCAGTCTTGTCTTACTTTTTCACAGCACTAAATGACCGTTATTATGTCGATGTGCTTCTCTTTACTCAAACAAACAAACAAACAAGTACTCATTTGCGTCATGGTTGATGACCGGTATCTGTGTCGAGGGTACATGTACTGTCCGAAGAACAGGATTCAAATGTCATGCAACGTGGTGAAATCAGGCGCTCGTCGTTGTTGTTGTTATCGATCCAGTAGGCGCTCGTCAAGATAATGAAACTGAAGAAACTGACATTTTTCTGCCAGTTTGGTAATTTTTATCGAATTTTTCTTTTTCAGCTTAACGCCATTGTTGTCCAATTAAGAACACATTTCAGGGTGGACTTTTACTGGAAAAAACGTTGATTAAAGGCACAAAAATGTAAGTTTTCAGTTTCCACGGACTATCAAGCTATGGAAATAACCAAACTTTGGTGGCTATTTCTCGCTAATTCTACCTTTGAAACCAGACAACCCAACCTTCATCAATATCAAATATCTTGACTTCTATTCAAGATACAAGGGCATTTTTTTCACCGTTATCAAGACAATTGAACTAGTTTTAAGATGATACAAATAACTCCACATGCCCGGCAATTGACGAGCGCCTGATTCCACCGCGTCGTGACATAAATTTATAGTAAGTAGCTTTCTCTCATCGGAGGCTCGACACCTTATTGCTCTTTTGTAACGATCTCGAACTTTGGCATCCATATCACGTAGTACCGTACCAAAAGCGAAGAAATCGTTGTTCAAAAATAAATAAATAAACGAATAGATAAATTAATAGACAAATAGATTCATAGATAAATAAATTTTTAAAAACCCACGCAATCCGATTCCAAGATTGTCTAATTTGGGATTTAATATATTACGGTCTTTCATGCCACCAATCAGGTTTTATTTACCTTTGATTGAGTCGGGACTAGCAAGATTTTTTATCGGCAGAGTGGTGGAAGCTTTATTTTGGCCAAATTCAAAACAAAATTCGCTCAGATTTGATTATGACCTTTAAAATCAAACGCGTTTGTTTTCCAAGTTCATGAGCGGAATTGGATCCTATTGGGCCAAAATGGTAGCTTTCTGGGAAGTTGGCCACAGTCATAAATTGGTACGCTAATCATTTGTTTTGTTGTTCATTACACACGTCACAAAAGTGCACATCTTTAGTAATTTATGTGGCTTAAATAAAGAATAAGCTTAATTCATAAATACCATTGATATAACATTCTATCTGTCAGGAAACAAGCTTTGAACTTTTGAAAAATAGACCCATTGCATTGTTAAGTCCTGACTCACTAGGCCTATAATAAACCCTGCAAATTTGAATTTTAGATACATGTATATTCATTCCCTGATTCAACATAGACTAGCCATCGTAAGTTTCGGTAGTCCGTGGAAGAAAATCTCCCTGGAACCGACTCTCTTCTTTCTGCCTGACTGAATTCGATTGTCAGTGTGCACTGTGTTTAAATAAAGACGGTCCGGTCATTAGGAGCATGTTTTGGCGGAGACCGCCAGGAAAATGAGTCTCTTTGTGTATCTGTGGAAGACACAGCGGGTTCCTCCCCCAGGGAAGTGCCTGATATCTTGGTGAGGCGGCGCGAGGGAGGCCGTTACAATATCATGATATCAGCTCAAGAGGACAGGGAGAGAGAGAGAGAGAGAGAGAGAGAGAGAGAGAGAGAGAGAGAGAGAGAG